ATTGTTGTTGGATACACAAGCGAGACAGTTCACGTGAGTTCGCCGCCGTGAGCGGGTCGAGCTCTTTCCCTGCTATGACGGACCCTCGTCACCAATCCTGAGCCCTGGTGATCCTCCTGCCTCAGCCTCCTGGGTAGCTGGGACTACAGGGCATGCGCCACCATGGCCCGGGGAAGATAAAGTGTATCTAGCATATTGGGCACCGTGATGTGCTTATTGTTTCAGTAACTATCAGAGTGTGTTGCCATATTAAGATAGTGACTCTTGTGTGGGTATAGGTTGAGTTCTCAGATCTAGACCACAGCCGGTCGGGAATGCGCGTCTTGCTCAGAGAACGGGTATATAGAAACTCATTGTTACCTTGTTCTTGAAGTCGAACATGTACCGCCCCCGCTCCTCGTTCAGGCCTCCTCACAACACTTGTGCTGTTTATTGGTAGAGTTCTGCAGGACATATAGAAGTGTCAGTCGACTGCGCCGGTGTCTCTGCAGAGACAAAATTTAAGCAGGTCATCCTGCCGGCCGTTGTAGTAGATTGATGCACTGGAAGGGACTTAAATGGCACTGTAAAAGACCACCACTCCTTTTGAGAGACATGTGGCCAACCACAGAACCTATTTATACCAGTGTCATGGAAGCCATGTGGCAGGATGTTGCACCGTGGGTATGTCTATTTAGTAGGACAGGTGAGCAGGTGCTAGTGCTAGCACAGACCATGATTTTTACTTGCTCTCCACGCGGTATCCTCAACTCTTCCTGCTGCGTCTGAATTTCTCGAGACAAAAGTAACAGGACTGGTAGTTTACTTTGGTTGGACATTTTGCAGGCATACAGAGGGATTTTTGTTGGAGAGGAGAGCAAGGATACTGCTCCTCACTCCTGGTCTACAAAGAAGAGGTGGGCCCTGTGGATTTTTGGTTTTCTTAATCCAAGAATACTAATTTAGGTACTATGACTTGATCCAAGTCTAGATTCATCATATTTCGATAATATTCTTAACTACATGGCGTGAGATCTATCATTTCTCTGATAAGTCACTGTTGACGCCACGGCACTCACTCTAGCCTGGACAACAAAGCGAGACTCTGTCTCAAAAAAAAAAAAAAAAAGGCAAACACTGTTGGAGACAATCCTGGTACCTGGTGCTACCTAAGAGGCCGATCTTTGACCTGTGAATGAGTTTCCTCAGACCTCCATTTTTCCTCCCTGGTGACATGGGGTTAAGGAGCACCTGCCTTGCGAGTTATTGTAAGGATTATACAAAATAATGCACATCACAGCAACTTCCCTTCACGGCATGAATGTTTGCTAGCTGTCCTTGGTGCTATTAAATCGTATGTCTCAATCTCAAATGGCTTCACACAGAACACCACCCTGTGCATTCTGTGAAGAATAATGGTGTAACTATCGTCATTACACGATGTACGGAGCCACACACAGGAACAACTAATTTAGCTAATGAAATTGGATTCTAATGGGAGATGAAGGGGGGAAATTGAGCTCTGAGAACATCTCTCTGACACAAGTGAAATTTTAGTCAATTGAATCACCGTAAAAACCTGCTCAGATTATATATTTTAAATATATATATATATATATATGCATGTCTGAGACCAGTTGTTAATTTCTTGATAAGTTGTTTCTTCATTTACCTTCATTTTCTGTTTTCCCTCCCTACCTGAAGCTTCCTTTGAGGGAAATACCCATTTCTTACTTAGTTCTTGGGTTAGTATCATAAATTTGCTTGGGCTATTCTAATCCACTGAACAAAAGTGCTTGGACCTCATTTCGGAGAGAGTAAACCAAAGAGAGTAGTAGGCCAACCACAGGACAGCTTGGAGCAATGACTGTGGGTGGGAGGCAAACCTAAACCCTTCAAAATATAGGAAGTCGAGGCTCTTGGGGACTATGGTGATGGCAAGATGCCCCCAGCCCCCATTCCAGGATGGGACTGCCACGCCCAGCCTCAGAAGATGCCCACAAGGCAGCCACAGTGTAGCCTAATCTGATTATTTTATTAGAGAAGCTGGAAGTGTGGATTCTTATGTGAAACGTACCCCCATTCTCAAATTTTGGCAACTAAAGCAATGAAAAGGCACTCATACCCACACCCCTCCTGGCCTCGAATTTGCGAGTTCTGCTCAGCCCCCACTATATTGTTTCAGGAGATCTCAAGGACGCACTGATGAGCCTATTCCATTTTTTTTTTCTTTTTCTCCAGAGCTCCAGAAACATGGCAGAGGAGGGGGACTCCCGGCCCCTTGGCGATCAGAGGCGGACATGGCAGCGGACGCCGCAGCTCTGCCGGTCATTCAGTAACACAGGTGAGGACCGCAGGCTCCATGGTGACCGAGACCGCCAGTGGGTCTCAGGGAAGGGGCTCCCCACCTTGTTCCAGCAAGCGCACAGCAAGTGTCAACAGCAATTGACCGGGGAAAGAACCAGCGGCACACGGAGGGTCGGAGACTCAGCCTTTATTCCACCAGCGGGCTCAGAGGGGCATGCCTCCAAATTCTGAGCACTGCTTCCTTGTTCTCCTCCGGTTTTATACACTTCTTGGGGTTACACACAACCAATCAACTATGAGCATGAGGAGTTATCTAATCAGCAGTGGGATTCAAAAAGCACCCAATCAGCAACAAGCTTTACATATCCAATCAGCGGTGGGATTCAAAATGCATCCAATCAGCAACAAGCTTTACATATCCAATCAGTGGTGGGATTCAAAATAGATCCAATCAGCAACAAGCTTTACATATCCAACCAGGAGTGGGATTCAAAATGTACCCAATCAGCAACAAGCTTTACATATCCAATCAGGGGTGGGATTCAAAATGCACCAAACCAGCAACAAGCTGTACATATCCAATCAGGGGTGGGATTCAAAATGCTTCCAATCAGCAGCAAGCTTTACATATCCAGCCAGGGGTGGGATTCAAAATACACCCAATCAGCAACAAGCTTGACATATCCAATCAAGGGTGGGATTCAAAATGCTTCCAATCAGTAGCGAGCTTTACATATCCAATCAGGGGTGGGATTCAAAATGCATCCAATCAGCAACAAGCTTTACATATCCAATCAGCAGTGAGTTCAGCCATGGGGTGCCCGGGGTGGGGTTTTTTCCCCCTGTCACCCTGAGAACGGGGGTGCAGGAAAAGCCCCCTCACCAGCAGTCTTGGGTGGTGGCTGCAAAGGACAAAAAGCTGGAGTGAAGGAAACCCTGGCCCTCGGGAAATGTATGCCCAGCCCACCCGCACCTTGACAACCCAAGTGCGTCAAGCAGAGTACTTGGAACGCAGACCTGTTTAAAGGCCAGATCTCTGTGAGGCTGTGGCAGGCGTTGCCCCACAGTCTGCAGGGCCAGCAAACGAGCTTGCTCCCCTTCCCTGTGATCTCAGACCCACTGAGCCCGACGGCTCTGCTTTCACTTGAGGACTCAGCCCCTTAGTGACCATTTGGTAAACTGAAGGGTAAATTGTCCTCCGTGTTTCTCTTTTGCTTTGGCCGCTAGGAAGCTCAGGCCTCAGGGAAAGGTCAGGGCTTGACTGATTTATCTCTTTGCCTTAAACTGTCGGGAGATCCTCAACAGTTTAAAATTCTGGCAGAAAGACATCTGTAGGCAATTATTAATTTTTTTAATTTTTAATTTTTTTTTTGAGACACAGTCTCACTCTGTTGTCTGGGCTAGAGTGCCGTGGCGTCAGCCTGGCCCACAGCAACCTCACACTCCTGGGCTCGAGTGATCCTCCTGCCTCAGCCTCCCTAGTAGCTGGGACTACAGGCACATGCCACCATATCCGGCTAATCTTTCTATTTTTAGTAGAGACGGGGTCTCCCTCTTCCTCAGGCTGGTTTTTAACTCCTGACCTTGAGTGATCCTCCCGCCTCGGCCTCCCAGAGTGCTAGGATTACAGGCATGAGCCACTGCACCTGGCCCGTAGGCAACTTTTATACACCAAGGGGCTCCTGCCTAAACCCATCTGGCAACCTGTATTATCATCTCTCCTATCTCAGTTTCCCACATGTGACTTCTGGGAAGACCAGAAGCCACTTGTTAGGGTTTATAAACAAAAACCCTTAAAGAGAGCTACAAATGTATCTCTCTGAAATTTGATTATAAATAGTGCTGCCATGCAATGTAGGGACATATGTAGACCAAAAGGAGTTTTTATTTGAAATTCAAATTTAGCCGGGCATCTTATATTTTATCTGGCAACTCTTTAATAAACCTCCTTAGAGTCCTTGGGATTATGGACCCCAGTTAAGGATCTTCTCCTTTGAATAGTTTTGTTTTTTTCTTTTCCTTCTTAGAGCTAGGGAATTCTAAATTAGAATTGGGCAGTTCTTCTCTGGCCCGTGAAATAAATGTGTCCATATTGTAAGTTGGTGAAGTCGATCAGATACAAATTAAAAACGAAATTAGCGAACATCTACTGGTAGCAATTGAATTGTATAAAATCATGTCAGCCACGTAGCAATCACGACTTTTAGCTGGAAAACAAACACACTCATTGCATTCTGATTTCACTTTGGAGTGTAAAGTCTTTATTATAGTTAATTCAAAATATATGTGCATTTCTTGGCCTTTCTGTCCCCAGTCCCCTTTTAAAAATATTCTATTACTTGAATATTGCAACTACCTCTCCCCCTTTTATTGTTCAAGTTGTGCACAAGCCATTGCATTCCAGAAAGCTCATTTCATTCTCCCATGTCATAGGTTTGTCGGCTCTGCACTCAACTGCCTGAGGGGACATAGCTAGTGGCTGGTGTAGCAGAAGCTGTCTTGTGTATTTTATTTTGTACCTTTTCCTATTCACCTTCTCTTTTTAATTTATTTATTTACTTTTTTTATTTTTTTAGAATCAAGGTAGTTTACTTAAGAACATAGGCCTGTAGGCATGCCTTGCAAACCTCTTTCTATTCTTCTTCTGGGAATGTGGCACTTTGGAGTGCCTGTTCAATGGGGCCACCGTTCTTCAGACTTGATTTTCCAGGCTAAATTTTGTCTTCTATGCTTCCGACTCAACCAGTACTTTTAGGCGGAGGCTAGAGAGCTCTAGGTGGGAGCTTTTGCTGAGGCTCCCTGAATTGCAGGATTCCGTCTTAGAATGTACTTTCTAGACACTTTCAGAAGATTTAAACTTCTTACCCGAGTTTCCTGTATGCTTTGCTTTGTCCGTTTTTGCTTCTGTCTGGCCTTGAGGCCTGAGATCTGTCTTTCAGGTAAAGCCTCTTGCCTTGTAAGTCTTGCCAGAAGGACACTCACCCCTAACTTGTCACACTAACCATTGCCATAGTGCCTGTGGGTTTTTAAATTCACTAACATCTGTATCTCTCCTTAAGGGTTTTTGTTTGCAGACCAAACAGATCACGTTCAGTCTTCCCAGCAGTCAGATACGGGGGCTGAGACTAGAAGGGATAGCACGGGTGGCCAAGGAGCACACAACTTGGAGTCCTAAGATTTTAAGATTTTGCCAGGAGTGTTATGATTACCTATAGCCTAATATAGGCGTCCTCAAACTACAGCCTGCGGGCCACATGCGGCCTGCCTAGCACATGTATCCGGCCCTCCGGGTGTTTTTGCTGCAGCTGCCTGTCCTGCCTAGCAGCCGACTCGTCCTGGGCCCACAGTGCGCACTCTCCAACGGTCTGAGGGACAGTGACCTGGCCCCCTGTTTACAAAGTTTGAGGATTCCTAATGGGACTAAATATACGGAACTTTAGGGACTTTAGGAAACTTGATCATCATAGGGTTGGCCCACCTTGTTCTCCGACACACACCCCTCCCTCCCTTTTCAAAATGCGTCTACACACAGAATTTCTCTACACTGTTAAACGCTTTGTGAAGCTCAGGAAATTTTGATAGCAAATAAGGCCATCATGCAATAATGGGACACGCCTAGACTTTTCTCATTGTTTATCTGATATTCAGATAAACTATACTTTCAGCAGCAGGTCAGTTTTAGCAAGTTTCAGGGATTAAGTGGGCTCACTATGTACAGAGGCAGCCATGATGGGGCTCAGCCTTGGAATTGATAGTTTTCCAGGCATGTAACACACACACACACACACAAAAAAAAGGCAAAGAGGTCCTCTCTAAAACATCCCTGCTTCAGGCTAGCAGTCAGGAGGGGGATTCTATGTGCCAAAAATGGGATTAATCTAGGCAGAGGTCATGAGACTGTTTTAGCCAAAGATGTGAGTATGGGATTGATCAGAACTTTTAAAAATTCTGCACTTCTGCTCAGAAGCAGGACCTTGGTACTTCCAGATGGGAGTCTGCCAGTCTCCTCATCTGCCTGCTAATTAATACATTCCTCTTTCTTCTGATGTGGCCTCAGGGACAAGTGTGGAACTTTTGGTAACAAGCATTAGTTCTATTATTGTCTTTTCTTACAGGTAATGAGGAAACTGAGGCTCAGTGGTGTTAAGTATTACTCCAAGGTAGACGGTTAGAGAGTGATGAAGCTGTAAGGGAGAATTTTTCCACTCCCTTCCTCAGAGGAGCATAACTACAAGCTAGCATGACTAAGCAACTCTGGAGTGACCTTTGACTAGATTTCAATCTTGTGCATAACTGCAAGCTAGCATGACTGAGCAACTGTAGAGTGACCTTTGACTAGATTTCAATCTTGTGCATGACTGCAAGCTAGCATGACTGAGCAACTGTAGAGTGACCTTTGACTAGATTTCAATCTTGTGCATAACTATAAGCTAGCATGACTAAGCAACTCTGGAGTGACCT